ACATGCACTTAATGATCTTGGTCCATCGTACGAGCTATCGGCGCGCTAAATGCTTTTTCTGAATTCTAGTTTTGAATTATTTCTTTACTCATCACTTGTGTACTTTTTAAACCTGTAAGTAGGTACTTTGTACACTTGTGCACTTTTTAAACCTTGTAAAATTCCGATGGCACGTGTACAGATGACTCGTGTGTTACTGAGACGACTCATTCTTTTGTCTATTGTATTCTTTAGAATCTTTAGATGAAGCCAATGATATTATAGTAGGTATTATTTATGCTCACTGGATGAATCGATAAGACGAATTGGTGCAAATAATATTTCCAACTATACATTGAGGTACCTTGCTAATGGTGTACTCCGCCACAACTTTTATATTATGTTTACAAAACTTCCGTATTTAGTAATTTCACGTTGGCGGGATCATCGATTATTTCGATGGGGCCACAAAGGAGAAGAAGAACTATTATACATATGTTTTTTTATAAGCGAATCCAAAATTTTGTTCATCATCATCGTCAATGAACGTCGGTTTAGAAAGTTGTGTCGAGTTTCCAGTCCATATGATGCATCCCACTGTGTTTATTCATTAGAATAGATGAATGATACAAACAAACGTATGAACCCAGAACAGGCTTGCAAACTTTCAATCAATATTCAATGTTTTATAATAGCAGTTAGTTAGTTCGTTCTGAAATAGTTTCGTACAATGCGTCCCTATTGGTCAGCCAGAGGACTGAGATGCAGAGAGAAATGCGCCGCGATTCCCCAAGGTCGGTCTTAAGAGCATTGCAATTTATACCTTATTATAGTTGAAATAGCTATAGAATAGAAAATATACTTTGATGAATCTGATGTTCTCTGCCTTCCCATTCGCCGCATTACAAATATTTATCATTACGTTAACGGCACACAAGAAGTTTAGTCCAAAGTACAAGATATGAACTCTGGACCCTGCCAAATGATACTCAGGAGTCTCTTTTGTATGACAGCAGCAAACCCATCTTTTTGTGCATCACCGAATATAGTCGCAGCCGCAATAGCATCCTGAATGTATTGTTTATACAACTCTTCAGGAACTGAGAGCTTTCTGGGTGTAGTTAACTCATAGGTTGTATGGTAATTGTGGATCTAGTTAAAGTTATCCACGTATCCGACTGAAGTTCAAGAAAAACTTGCATGAAATTACAACCAAGACTTAACAGTTACAGAGACGTGTGTTTTTACTTAAACGTAACTTAATCTATACATAAGTCATTAGTCTTAACGATTTATAACTGATCATTAAATTAAAATAATTTGTGGAAAAATACTCAAATGAACTTAACCTTCGTATTCACACTTTAGTTAAATGATATAAACGATAGTCGATAATAACGTTATAATTTCTTCCATTGACAGCGTGAACAGTGATGTTGAAAGTAACTACTAACTTATTTATTTATTTAAATATTGTAACTCTTACTTTCAGCGGATGGCCTGCTCCTCCGATTTCTACACAGCTGTTACTACGACCTGGAGAAGGCGAAAACAGCTGCAGACCTCTTCTTCACAATGAGAGGTTCTTCACCAGACCTGTTGAGAAACAGGGACCCAGAGTCACCGGCTGTAAAGAAAACTTTTAGTATAATGTGAGTTTTAAAAGGACGTTTTCAGATCAAACCAAGAATGTACGTAGCTGCAAGTTCAAATGGGTTGCATGGTTATGTGTTCACTACATGGAGCTGCATAACAGCATAACAATAAGCATATAGTGTGTAGCGTTTTACACATGTTTTGCACACGAATGTCCGTAGGAGGGCTCCCGGCCCAGATGTACTCGCGCAGCGTCGCCAAAGCAGTTCTGGCAGAAATATCCAGTAACGTTCTGAATCGAGGTGCGTGCCCACTTGGGCCCGCTGCTTAAAATTGTTAAACGGCTTAAGAGGCTTCAGCTAGACTTTTTGTCCAGTCAAGGCCATCCGCAGTCAACTGCAAAATAAAAGTGAGTTACCCTTACGGGATAATAAACTAGCCCTTTTTGATAACTCTCTCTTTGAGTCTTATCGTCTGCTTACGACCCTCAGGGCGCCATTGGTATTGCGGTCTACAGTCTACACAGTTTAAATGTGCAAATACTCTGCAGGTTGCGTTTTTCAATTCAAATACAGTCCATTTGTATACATTATTTGAAAAAGGTTATGCAATCGAAGTTTGTAATAAACATTACATTTCACAGCACCGATCTGAGTTAATCTGCAATATTTCGTTGAATTAATTGCTACAGCTGAAGCCAGCTAGTTACATTCAATCAACCAGCTATCGTCATCCAGGAATAGGTTTGAGTAGTTTACTAATTAGTTGACAGAAATTGAAAAAAAAAATAGGGTTGTATTCCAGAACTCTACTGAAATCATACTCAGATCCTGACTGGATCCTGATTTCAAGCACTGGAAATACGACCCTAATGGCAAGGACTTGAGTATGATTCTAGTGGTTTGAATCATACTCAAGTCCTGACTTGAGTATTGATGCTCAAGTCAGGATCTGAGTATGATTTCAAGCACTGGAAATACGACCCTAATGGCAAGGACTTGAGTATGATTCTAGTGGTTTGAATCATACTCAAGTCCTGACTTGAGCATTGAGTAGAGTTCTAGAATACGAACCTAAGATATCTGTCGTTGTTTCATACCATCATCTTAGATCGTGCATTGGTAACTTGTGTGGTTTACATTTTATGCAAGCAAACTACACTTGAAATTGTAAACTAGATTTTAACACTATTACTCATTCTTAAGACAGATGTATAATACTTCAACTCTTATTTTAAAAATTATAAACACAAACAAATGTAGGCGCGTGGCACTTGTCAACTTTATGTCTAAAGATGATTCAAGGTAATTTGGCCCCTTTCATGAAATTGTGACTTTGTGAAGGTGGATGTTGGAACGGTCAATTAATTTTTATATTTTGTATTAATATTACTTTAATCGAAAATTTTTCATTATATGATTTTACTCTTCTTCTTAATAAATTACGTTTTCATAAGTACAGTGACCCTTTTTCATTTCTATATTTACAGAAACCTAGCCCAATTTCAAGTATCAGGTAACAGGAATCTCTGGATTTGGCAGCTGAACGATCCGGGTCTTGACAATTACGACTATCTTCAGGACGCCAAAATTTTCATACTGAGCACCGACGCTTGGTTGCTGGAGGACAACACGTTAGAAGAGGCAGATATAGTCCTAATGGATATCAAGGACATATCGTTAAAGTTTCTAACTAAATTTAATATGTCTGTGGCGAGACGGATATCGAAGTATCAAGAGGTTAGTGTAGTGCCTTAAAAGTGAAAACCCTATTAATTTTAATCGGAAATATTTCAGACAAATTACAAGACTGTCAACGTATCTTGGAATAAGATTGGGTAAATAAAACCACTGGTATACTAAATGGATATCAGGGTAGAGAAAAATCTAGTGAATTATCTTGAATAACATATATCGAATTCCTATTGACTTTTAGACAGGGTATTCATAATATGTCTTACGTTCACCGTGCCTGTTAGGTTTTCTCATGATATAAAGGATAATAAGGGATGATAAGGAATTTATAAACACAAACATCATAAGGTTTATATAGGCTCACTCTAGAGTCGAAATCGATCCACCTACAGGAAGGAAGTATTTTCCGAATTAATCTTATAACTTTTTGTTAATAATTTAAAATTTCAGGATGCAATGCCGATAAGGTTGAAGGAGATCCACTTGATTAACGTGCCCTCGTTCATAGACAAACTCTTCGCGTTGATGAAGCCTCTTATGAAGCAGGAGGTCACCGATATGGTTAGTGTAAATCTATGTGGAACACGGTTGATATTATTGTGCTCGCATCGGCTTAGGCACATGTCATGTCAGCGACAGTAAACAGCTCTGGCCATGGATGATTAAAGATTTTTTTACTATACTTTATTCGATAGCTTTTGTTATGTAATGTTGACTCATGCCTGCCCACTATATCAACTTATTTTGAGCGATGATGTGGCCGACGATGTTAAGTTTTTGTTTAGTAAATGCCTGTTCACTCTAGCGTTGAGTAGCTCCAAATTTTAGTGTTCGAGAAACAAAAAAAATCCATATTAAAAAAGGGGTCTTCGCAAAATAAAAAAAAATCGCACGTGGTATATAAAAAGTTTAGGAACCTCGGGTGAAGACCAATTAATTCCTTTTGAAGAAATTGTAATTTTTACTTATTTATCGGGTATCGTTGGTACTGTTTTGTATTCAATCTATTTCGCTGTACATAATCTATTGCTTCTATTAATAACGATCATATGGAAGTTTGACGTTGTTACACGTTATCAATTAGTTATTTTGTGACGTTGTCAATATGAAATCCATATTTCGTCTCTCGAAAGCGATAATGCAGTAATACTCAAAAACTCAACTTTTCGTTGGATCCAAAACAAAAATTGCAAAAACGAAAAAAAAATCAAAACTCTGAAACGGCTCAAGTTTTTGTCCTAAATTTAGCAAATAAACCTATAAAAAATAGGACTTCTTAACAATAAACTCGGATTTGAAATTCCTACTCCTAATGACGATTATGTGGGTTACGACAATTTGATTTTCAGATTTTAACCCCAAAGAATGCTGTAACTTTCAAGTTAATTTGTATGAAGGCGCGACTAATGCCGTCAATTTGCGGTATTCTAAGAGTGATGTAAATGAATTAGAGCTCCTTAACACATTTTCGATCTTTAAATGTTAATTTCTTGTAGATGTAGGAAATTCAAAACTGCTCTAAGAGTATTTTTTAAAGCAAAGCAGGTAACATTAAAATGGTGTTAGTGAAAATCACATGCAATTTACATGGCTTCTAAAATGTTTAAAAAAAACCACTATTTGTGAAAAAGGCATTGGTCACAATGAGTACATGAAACAAATCGAATTATAATATTAGAGATTTAACATAATAAAACAAAATCATAGACACTGTGTGCCACATTACATCGATATTAGAACTGATGAATTATAAATTCTTTAAATTCCATAAAAGAATAATAATCAAGAACTAATCAAAGGCTCGTATTCTAGAACTCTACTCAATGCTCAAGTCAGGATTTGAGTATGGTTTAAAGCACTCGAAATCATACTCAAGTCCCTGCCATTAGGGTCGTAGTTCCAGTGCAATCCTGACTTGAGCATTGATTAGAGTTCTAGAATACGACCCTTAATCTTGATTATTAGTTTTTCATTTTCTGTTCTTATATTTTCTATTTTAGTTTATTGACTGGTACACTTGTGTGTGTACCTACAAGGGAAAAGATTATCTACATGTTAAAGATTTAAAATTATTACGTGTTAGCATTGACCTACCAACGTGTTAGTATACATTCAATAATAATTAACCAATCCTTATTCCTCGTAGGCACTAGGTAATGAACGAAAATAGTAAAAATATAGAAATATTTTATCATGATTATAATTTAAATTACAACCAAACTATATTTATACATTAAGCAGACTTCAAAATAAAAATAAAATTAAAATTAAGCCTTCTAAATAGTGTCGTAATTCGGTTGTACATCATTGATATTTTCGGGTGGTACTGCAACATTACTACACATTTTTTATGATCAGTTCAGAACATAGTTTGAATAAATTTTTCTCAGGACTTCTAAACGTGGGCGTCAGATCATAAACTTTTGCAGAGACTAGTTTTGAGTTTGGCGTGTTGCATATCTTTTGGCGACATGTCACGGAGCTTCTTGATGCAGCTTGCGGCGTTGAATCTGGTCAAATTATTATCGGTGGAAGATTGTTGCACAATGGATTAAATTACAATTTATTAGAACCGTCTGATGGCCATAGTAATTTGTTATTTAAAATTTCAGTCTTAGGTTGTTTTGATCTAGTAGCATAGCGTTCGTCGACAGAAAATGTTTCTTTGTTCTCTTTTAGCTCACCTAGGCATTCTCTTCTTTTTTGTGACGTTACCTGTGTTTTTATATTTGTTGCATGTGTAGAATATATTTTATTATATTATATAGTATATGTATAGAAATAAGACTTTGTGATTCATGGGTTTGCTGAATAAATGATGATGGTCTCTGTCATGTGAAGTGAGAAAAAACTTCATAAAAAGACGGAAACGCACTACAGGTAAACATTTCCCTGCCTTTTTTTTTTTTTTTTTTTTTTTTGACGGGGGGGAAATCTTTATGGATACCCCTGAGCCCAGGGAGACTCAGGGGTTATGTGGGGACTCTCCCTCCACACTGGAAGGCCTACCCCACTAAAACCCCCCCGGGTTTCCCTCTCGCCGGTTGAGTCGGCGCCGTGGGATCAGTGAACATTCACCACGACGCCGCCCGGCCGCCCTAGCTTGCGCCAGGGCTCCCGCGCCAACGGAGGGACGAGTCGGTTGTCCTCCGACCCGCCCCCCAGACGAGTGAGGCCGTGCGACCACCCTCTGGGGCCTCCTCAGCAGCGACTTCGTCGCCGCTGATAAGGCCCCACTCCAAATGGGAGCCCCGTATAAGGCCATACTCCGGGTCACCCCGGCGTATAGCCTTCTGCATGGGGCTCCCGGCCTCCCGAGGTTGGGCAGGAGCCTGCGCCGATGCGGCGCCCACTATTCGGGGAGCAAGTTGCCGAAAATGCTCCCCGAAGTTCCATCGCCGGTCTAGGACAAGTAGATATTTCATCTGGGACTTGACCGGGACCGATACTCCCGCGATGGAGATGTGGGCGCCTGCCGGCACCGCCCAACCTCTACCCCTCCCGCCGAAGACGGCCACATCCGTCTTCGGCACGGCGACCTCGAGCCCTAGCAGTTGTATTCGGCGGACCACCATGTCCGCCGCTACTGAGGCTCTTCGGGCCGCCTCCTGGAAGGTGGTCCCCCGGACGGCCACCAGCGTGTCATCGGCGTACGCGATGACCGCCGTCCGGGGGAGCAGCGCGCCCCTCAGCACCCAATCGTACCCCAGGTTCCACAGTAGTGGTCCTAATACGGACCCCTGGGGTACTCCGCACCTCATTGGGCGCTCGGCGCGCCTCCCTTCCCTCGTCTGGTAGAGCACCACCCTGTCCTCCAGGTAGTGCTCCACCAGACGGCTGAGGTACCTGGGGATATTATGGTACCTCAGCGCCTCCCTGATAACGGCGAAGGGGAGAGTGCCGAAGGCGTTGGCTATGTCCAACGACACAGCCACCACGCCTTCCCTCTCGCCGTTACCCTCCTCCACGATGTGTCGCAGCGACTCCAGGGCGTCCAGGGTGGAGAGTCCAGCCCTGAACCCGTACTGCCGCTGCGACACATCGGGGCCTGTCCCCCTCAAGTGTTCGTTGATCCTGGAGGCGATGATTCGCTCCAGGATCTTCGCCACCTCGTCCAGCAGGACGAGGGGCCTGAACCCCGAGGGGGAGTCCGCAGGTCGGCCCGGCTTGGGCACCAGGACGAGCCTTCCCTCCTTCCAGCATCTCGGGAACAACCCCGTCCTCAAACAGTCATCCATGAGATGCTTGAGGCGGGTCCCGAGATGCTTCAGGGCAACGCGAAGGACTCGTCCCGGTACCCCGTCCGGGCCGGGAGCCTTCTTCCGCCCCCGCAGCCGTCCCACCGCCAACTCCAACTCCCCCTCGGTGATTTCCGGGGGGGGGGGTTCCTCAGTCTGCCCCCCGTCTGTTCTGGGGGGCACCATAGCCGGTGGGGTGAAGGGCTGCGGTTCGGGGAAAAGGCCCTCCACCACCCGGTTGAGGAGATTCAGCTCCAAAACATTTCCCTGCCTGCCCCGTTGGGAGAACGGCGAGAGATATATCTGGATACGTACATAATATGTACGTATCTAGAAAATGGCTTGTTTGCAATATTGTATCTAAATTCGTTTTAGTGACTTAGTGAATAATAATCACCTAAACATATTAACATACCTACATATCACAATAATTTTCAACTTTGTAGGATTTCTCAGTCGAATAAAATCACTTTAATCATGGTGATTTGAGTCAATTTCACTATAATTTAAATGCATCATATTTATGAGTCCTACGTCGTTCATTAATTTCTGACTCTTATGGTCTGAATAAATAAACGAGATTAAATATAATAAGTAATAAAATAAAATAAGGAAAAGATATAATATTTTCAATAATAATTGAAAAAATACTTTCGATTTGGCTATAAAAAACCTCGGACAACACACACAAGTACCCCCACTGCTGCATGCGTAGTCTCTAAAGATTGCTGTAAGTTGTGGTGTCATTAAGCGAGGGAAGGAAAAATGACGTAGGGAGAAGTTCTGTACTTGTCTATATTTGTTTTTAAATATCGTAACACTCATAGATGGCGCTACTACTAAAAAGTCGTTGAAAGACCAAGTACAAAGACACGACGCAAGCACATAGAGAAATTCGTGAGGTCCGTTGGTTCGTTCCGTGGCTTAGTTGGTATAGCGTCTGGCACGGTATGCAAGAAAACGTCGGTTCGAATCCGACCGGATCAAAGGATTTTTTCTGAGTGTTTTTTCTGAGTGTTCGATCTTTGTATTAATAATTATAACAAACTAGTGGAGTAATTTCACAAAAACTAATTGAATATCAATTCAATAAAAATTTAATTAACTCGTTGCACTGTTAAAACTAGGGCCTTTAAAACGCTGTAAATCACATTGTTCGTACTTAACAACACCCAAGTAAATGCTGTAAGTGGTACAATTTTAATATTAGGGAACGCAAAAATGCTGTAATCAGAGGCACAGAAACATTTAATTACGTGTTCTTGATGTAATGCACATTTCGCAAAAAAACATTGGATTTTATGTGGGTTAATCGTTTTAAAATTCCTTAATCAGAAAAAAGCGTTAAAAAATTATGCTGTCCAGAGTTTATTTTTTATTTTAGAGACATGAGACCCAGACCAATCGAAGCAGAAAAAAAAAACTGAACAAGAATATGCAAAAAAAAGTATTTTTGCAGGTATTGCGGGTTACAGCATTATCGCTTTCCAGTGACGATATGTACATTCTATTCTAATGACTTGAATATATACTTTAAAATTAAAATGTTTTTGTTCATAGATACATTTCCATACGTCCAAATCGAGTACACTGTTCCAGTATTTGAGTAAAGAAGATCTGCCAGAAGACTTTGGCGGCACGAATGGGAAAATGACCGACCATATGAAAGATGCCCTCGACTTGATTTCCAGACACAGGTAAAGCGACAAAAATAATAATGTTTTTATTTATTTAACGTTAGTCGTAACTTGTTTCAGAGAGACGAATTACCCCAACAGAGAAATCCGTAAGACTTTACTGACTTTAAAAAAAAGAGGAGGTTCTCAATTAGACTGCTTTTTTTGTGTGTATATTACGCGATAACTCCAGCGGCATTTGTGAACCGATTTTGATTACCCATTCTTTTTTGTTGAAAAGTGGGTACCTCATTATTGGTTCCATTTAAATTTAAAGAAAATATTCCACCTCTAAGGGTGGCAAACTAGGGGACGAATCCGGTTTCACGCACTTTCCGGGAGTCGATTTCAATCAACGAACTTTTGCGGTCGGTTTTTTAGTACTATGTTCTGAGATTATTTCTATTAAATTTTAGACGATATTAAATATTTTAATCCATTTCCTACCCTTTAACTTTTTGTATATTAAGAAGACGAATGGATACGGAGGTCCCGGGTTCGATTCCCGGTAGGACCAATTTGGGAAACGAACTTATGTTTCTGGTCTGGGTGTTCCGAGTAGAGCCCCGGAATGAATTCCATTATTTAACTTTAGTGCCATAGTACAGGGAATTCCCTGGCTTGAGACCAGGCCATTGGTGTAGTTGTTTGGCACATAATTGTTATATTCTTCTTCTTATTATTATGACAATGTAAAACTTTCTTAGAACAGGTTTTTTTATATACAAAAATAAGTGCGCATTTGACCTCCATCTCACCTTATGGAAAGTGACGATGAGGTCGACGATGGAGCATGCACACCTACCGTCGCACACTCTCCGTGATATATTTTAATGGCCTCCTTGGCCGAACGGTTACCATGATGGCCTGCCACGCAGAGGTCCCAGGTTCGATTTCCGGGCCGGGAGAAATATTTGTTTAGCCTACATTTATTTCTCTCGTGAGTTGAGGTGTAAGTTGTGGTTGTTTATGTGTGTGTCCATGGCACCCGTGACTCAGGGTTTCCTTAGTGCGGGGCTATGTTGAGTGTTTGCGTAGTTATTATTATTATTACATTCTGTAGAATACCGATAAGTAGGCAACTTCCCGACGGTGTTTAAGGCTTCGCCTCTACTAAATACGAGGCCGAGGATTGGCCATATACTAATTGTTCTGTGGTATAAAATCTCTTTTCTTAACTACACATAATTTATAGTCATTTTTTCTTTAAAAAGTCTTCATTTACTTTTGTATATTTTCTTTAATAGCAACTAATTCCCCACGCACACCTCTCTGAACTAGCATCAAGCAAAGTTATTGTTTGCAAAAGATGCAATGTTGGTGATCTGATGATTTAATTCGACATGATTTTTTTAAGATACTAAATAAGTTATATTTATTGTGTCGTCTATTCACAGGGAAAAACTGAACACCGATTTATGGATGGCGGCGAGCAAAAAATCAAAGAGCAAGAAGGAGAAAGAAAACAACGCAGAAGTTACCACGGGTTTCAGAAGTCTTGCCATCGATTAGTTTTTATTTCAAAGATCTAAATTGATATATTGGGGCCACACGCTGTCTTGACGCTGATTCTCTTTCATATGAACACTCATGTAAAATTACATCAATGCATGTTTTTAAACCTTACATTGTACAAATAAGTGACAATTTGTATAAATTATTGTTTTGCACATTGAAATTATATTTTGGGAGTATTGGGACCAATTTTACAATCGCTTTTATGAATTTATAGAGAATTTTATTTTGTATTAGTAATTATAACAAACTAGTGAAGTAATTTCACAAAAATAATTGAATATCGTGGTATTTAAACATCGTGACATTTAATAAACTTAAAAAAGATATTAACAATATTATTTCAGCTCTCGGGATGGCATGGGATCAGTTAGAGTGCTTCCCTTTGTCGCCTTGTAGTGTTTAGGTAAGTGATTATAGCGAGGAAGACTGTAGACTTGTAAACAATTGGACCAGAGTGAGATGGGTTTTGGTTCACTTTTTAAAGGTATCATCTATGACATCAAAAACCATAACATAAAATATATACACGTTTCGAAAAATCTTCATAAATTTATGAACATTGTTTTGTTTCACATTTGCACGAGTCTTAAATTATGTTTATGTAAAGTACTCTTTTAAAAAATACCCCTAAGGAAATTGAATTTTGGTTCAATGTCGCATAACGTGTCGCTTACATCGACAAATCGACGGCTAAACTGAATGCATTGCATGCATGGATAGGAGTATGAAAGTTAACGACTATGATAAGATAGTGATGTCCCTCTTTTATAGGTTTTGAACAAAACATTCCACCTGTAAGGGTGGCGAATTAGGGGATGAACACGGTTTATTGGATTTGCCTTACTTTGCCTCAACCGTTTCCAATAATACTTGGCAATAGAGATGTAATTCCACTTTTGAAGTCCGTTTTTATTAATTATTAAGAAAGACTCTTAAAGATTTTGTGAACGAAATCAGTTGATAACTATAAAATGTCACATATACGTAAGTTGTTTCGTGTAGTTTTATTTTTATCACTTTCAGGTGGTAAAAGCGCATGTCACGTATTCTGCCGCCACGTCGTTATTTGAAAGGGAGCTTGTCACAAAAATTGAAAAACGAGAAAATAATCTTAAGAAAATTGAAATAAAAAAATAACTATTTTTTTATAATAACTAATTGACGGGACGAACAAGTCGTGTGCCTAACGGTAAGCAACAGGGCTGTCCATGACAGTCGCAGTACCACTCAGAGCTTTAAATAACAAAGATCTGAGGGGCACTACCACTGCGCCTGATATCGTGAGACATAAGTAGTCAAGTTCCATATGCGTACGATAACTCGGTGGTCGACCGATTTCTTTTCAGTTTTATTCACAACACCCGAATCGGACGTCAAACTGTCGTATTCGAAATCGAACCGAAATGACGTCACGTCAGTATGATTGATTACTCGAACTTCTCGACCGGCGAAGGCTACAAACGTTATACAGAACACGGTCTGTTATCGAATGAAAGTCCTATTGTTTACAAAGCAAGAATGTAATATGGAAATCTCTTAGTGTTTTAAATAAAGTCAGCTTTTTGTTTAACAAAATAAAATTAATTTATTTTAATGTAATCCTATATTTTAGGTATTTAAAGTTTTAATGGATAATACCTTATCCTCCTGCGAAAAATAAAAATAGTGACAGGTCGGCCTTTTTCTTACTGATCATATACATAACAATTTTTTTTTAAAGTCACACGCCCTTTCAATTAACAACGGCAGTATTATCTATGTACTGTAGTTTAAAAAAAAACTAGTTGATAGGAATATGTCGTAGTAAGGTTTCGGGATGGTTATAAATAACACCTTGTAATTGAAGTAACAGAAATTTAACATACAGGCCCTGTATTTCTCCGTTCGAAACAATTCCTATCAAATAAGAGATAATCGACCAAATCAAAAGACGCATAATGCTAATGAAGCTTCATACTTGACGTTCGTTTTTTTAATTTCGTCGAGTATTACTTATTTGACAGTAATTGTTTCGGAAGAATATCGGACGGAAGACGAGAGCAGAAATTTTGTGGGGGTTTCCTTATTTATTACTTTGAAATTAAAATGCCTATTAGGAATAAATAGTAGATTGTACAACAAGTAATTTTACCCGAGACGAGTCTATCCTGGATACTTAAGTCGAGGGTAAAATTGGTTCTATGAACGCGTTATACACTCTGCTTTTCACTTCGATTGCGAGGAAATTAAACAGCAATATTACAAATAAACGATTATTTGAATAAAATTGAATGTAAAATGTTTTATGCATTTCTATTTCTTATAACTTATTAGAATTACCTACTATTGCCTACTTTTTAGTTTTGTAATTATAACACGGATTAAAAAAACAAAAGTAACACTTTATTTAATAAAGTTCTAGTGCGCGTGGCTGTTGGCGCAGGCGTCATTGTGTCGGTCTTAAACGACGATTTTATTTTATGCACTAGAGCATAAAATCCTATTTTATGCAGCCTAAATACGTACTTTAAGAGCATGAGAAGTGAAAAAGTAATAATAGGTCTTAATACACAAATTGTTATATAATATAAGTAAGTATTTTTATATATATATGTTTTACTGAAATTGTGATACGATGAAAAGTGAGAACATTGTTTCGTAATTAGTTATTATCGTAGAATTCAGAATAATATAATGTAAAATATAGTTAGCTTTATACATTCCATTGTTTGTTTCTATGCAGTGTATTTTACTACGATATTAATTGTTTTTTTTTTCATTATTACAATTTATTTCTACGCAAACACAAATTATCTGAAACGAAATGTATTCTTTTTGTTAAATGTTTTTGTTTTTTATTTAACAATAACGCACACACTCAATATAACCCCGCACTAGGGACTGGACTTACACATAGACAACCACAAATTACACCCAAACTCACGAGAGAAATAAATGTAGGCTATACAATGGCTATACAAATATTTCTCCCGGCCCGGGGATCGAACTTGGGATCTATGCGTATTTTCCTATGTCATAAGAAGAATGTCAGTGGATGCGGTGAAAGCGTAATGGGTAGTTCCTTTGCGCTTCGAAACCTTGTGGCGACATGCACCTGTGACTTTAATTTCTAAGTTTGTTATTGTTTAGTACCAACACATCTCACTAATGGCGTAGGAAAACGTTACGATGGAACCTGAAGTTCGCAATTCGCATCAGTCCATCATAGTATGGGTGTTGGTGAAATTACAGGCACATGGGACTTATGTCTCAGGATGACGGGCGAAGTGGCAGTGCCACTCAGATCTTTGCGATTTAAAGCTCTGGGTGGCACTGCACTGATAACAGTTCATAAGGATGGGCGTGTGGCTTACCACTGGCGTACGACTTGTTCGTCGCGTCACTTGGTATTATTATTATTATTTATTATTTAATTTTAGGAAGACCAACGGCTATCTTACATAACATAAATTTAAATAAAAACGGAGAGCCAATTATAGGTCCTCACCGGTAGATACACATTAAGTTAATTAAAGAGCTATAAATTATAACTATATAACTAATAATTATACTATATAGGTAATGACATAATCGCACACACAACAATTAGCTACTCGCCAAAATACAAACCACTAATAAGACGCTTCACCGATGCAACACTAGTGTTAAAAAGGTCAATATCAACCTGCTTGGACAATACATTAAAACTATTACTCACACGCAGGAGATATGCATTCCGCCGAAAGTTTGAAGAGGCCAGAGGTACGCACAGAGGTGAATTCAACCTAAGGGTCTTTGCAGGGGCAAAAAAATTATAAAAAAAGAGACTCGGGCTTAGCAGAGGGACGTATAAAGAAATGGCGAGGATAATGACGACATTATATTACGAAGCTCTGTAAATAAACCGCTTTATAGGTAATTAAGAAACTAAAATACGAGTGGAGCAAGCACGAGGTTGTAGTTTTCTGTTTTTCCAAATGACTTGTTTATTAAAGGAAGAAAATCGGCCAAGGAAGAAACTGCCACCGTAATGTGAGCATTACTGCGTTCTGGCCTTGGAACTTGTCAATTTATGTCTCAGGGAGACGGACGTAGAAGCAGTGCCTTTCAAATCTTTGCGATTTAAATCTCTGAGTGACAGTGCAACTGCTATGGACACGCGTGTTGCTTACACGAGTCGTTCTTCCCGTCATTTGGTACCATAAAAAAAAAATTAAAAATTATTTCTTTGAATCATATGTCAAAAACGCCATCTAAAACAACATTCAGTGTCTAAATATCTCTGTCAAACTGTTGGATATAAGATACTTTATGTGTTAATATATTTTTCATCGGGGACCCGAACAATGTTGCAGGCAAAATCTTGTCATTACTAATCTATAATCGAGCAATAGAATAAACTCGCATTTTTTGAATTGGTTAATACCGGTGTTCGGTTTTTGGTTGATGCATAGGCATTATGCTTAACCGTGGAAATCGTCCAAAATTGAAACAATAAGACAAAAAGTAAGATAAAAAAGGTTTGGCATGTTTTGCTTTGGAATTGTAAACCTTGGTCTTAACGATTTTGACGTGGGAAGAGATGGAAAAACAAACGTTTTGTTTAAACGTTCGGTATACTCATAATAACTTTTTATTTAATGCACGTTCTTTTCTTACAAAATTTGTATTTTTTTAAATTTTTTATTTTATATATATTCCATTGACATTGATAATTATTCCATTGACCTTCAAAAGGTAGGTTTTTATTTTTGTTTTTCCTCATAGGCCTTTTTATAGAGCCATAAATTTTATAAATACCTATTTAAAAATACATATTAAATGGATGGATGTTTCTAGAGTGACAACAAATTTATGGAGGACGGAAAAATAGGGAAAAGTTGACCACGGCGCACATATTATACACCATTTACCCACACCCTTTACAAACAACATACTACACGTATGTTGTCCTGTAGTAGTAGTAGTGATGTAGTGTTGTCCAACCTAAGATCAAGATGAGATTGACCCAGTTTTTGTCTTGGTCTCGCTGTCATATTCTATTATTCATACAAAGAGTGACATTATGTTAATTCAGATTTTAGAAGAACGCAACATTATTTTGTACAGTGCATATTGACATAGGTATCGTGAACGCCAACCAAACAACGGATAATTTACTTTACAATATATTACAATGTTGATAAGCCCAACCAACCAAGATAAGCCCGCGCATAGGATTAATAAAAAATACTAAGTAGCGTTTATTATGGGTCAAAAGTATGACCCTCTCGAGGAAGTGCCGCGTCGCCCACTCTGGCTTGTTACAAAAAAACTACTCGTCGATATAATAAATTTTATTTTT